TAAAAGTTACGCCTTCTTTCTTTGCGTGAACATTTGGGCGGCGTTATGCAAATCTTCCCACATAGTGAGGTAGATATGTGGGGGCGTGTTAGAATGAGCCGTTTTAGGTAGGTGTGGCTGACTTTGAACTTTTATAAAGAATATCTCTTTGGATTTGAGACTTTAGTCTTTGCAACTTTACAGATCTTCTTTATGCACCAAGAGCTTGTAACACTCCAAAGAGAAAGGAAAAATTGAAATCGCATCATATGACCCCTTTAAGCATTATAAGGCATAATAATAAAAGTAACATAATAAAAATAATAATGATTAGTAATAATTGTACTTTTATTTGTATTAAGCTGACAACATTTCTAGCTGCTAAAGTCATTTTTTGATTCAATTCAGATTTATTTTTGGCACTTTTTACAGTAAATATTTTTCCAAAGCAGTTTTACCAACCCCAGTTCGCAAATAAATGTGACAACAGCAAGGAGAAAAGTAAAACAAAATACATATATACGTTGAAACTTTTAAAAGTCAATGTGAACATATTTTGTAATATCATGAATTACTCACATCATGCGTATGCACCCATATAATTTTCCATTACAAAAAATTAAATTTTATTAAACTGCCAACGGAAACTAGATCTGTGATGCTCTTACACGCACCACGGCTTCATTCACAACTTTTGGGGGGAATGTACAGGAATCTCTTTTTACAAATGATCTATCTTTGCACACCGGGATCATAATCCGTGAATGGCATGTTGACATGACGAAAGAGCAGCAAGAGGGAGAAATTAAAATAGCAAGGGGAGGGATACGGAGGAAAACGAGAAGGGCCCACTCTGTCCTGGCCCCTGTTAGCTTCAAAGACGGCCGCTGAGGCTTTAGAACAAAGGTCTCCGGCATTAAAGGCTGGCGGCGAGAGTTATCTGTGTCGGTTATTACCATTCAGCTGTAGGATTAGCTAAGCTCTCCACACAGCTTGTGTACTTTTGCCTTCATCAAACGCTGCCCAGCTTTTACACGCCGAAATCTAGAGACCAGAAAAAAAGAAAGGGGAAAAAAGAACCGTCTCCCTCGCTTTCATCTCCTTTTGGGACAGTTTTGTTTGGCCTCGCCATCACGGCTGTCCTCACAAGTGTGTAATTCTCAAAAGGTTGAGGTCATTAGTTAGAGAGCGAAGCTGCGCTTCTTTCGGAGGAAATTGATAGTCTTGCAAACTTAAGGATACCCGGAAACCTTCTTTTTACTCTTTACAGATCTATATGTGCTCCTGTCATGAACCACATTCAACCTTTTTTGTGCTATTGTCCCAAACGCCCCTCTTTATGCAAATCTAATCTACTTCTTTGAAGATTAAAACAAAGTTAACCTTTGTTTATCTTCTTTTAATTCAGGCAGAGTACTTCTATGAGTTTCAGACTCTGCGTTCATTGGATAAAGACATTATGGATGACCCTACCGTCAATGTTCCTCTCTTAGGATCAGTGCCACACAAAGCCTCTGGTACGCTTTTATTCTTTTTAATTATTTCACTATTGTTGTGGCTTACATTTTCCCTTTTAAAGGGATATTTCACCCAAAAATGAAAATTCTGTCATTCACTCGCCCTGCACTTGTTCCAAACCTGAATGAGCTTCTTTTTTCTGTTGAACACAAAAGAAGATATTTTGAAGAATGTTGGAAACCAAACAGTTGACGGTAGCCATTGACTTCCATAGTATTTTTTTTTCCATACTATGAAAGTCAATGGCTACCGTCAACTCTTTGATCACCAACAATATCTTCTTTTGTGCTCCACAAAAGAAAGAAACTCACGCAGGTTTGGAACAACTTGAGGGCAAGGAAATGATGACAGAATTTTCATTTTTGGGTGAACTATCCTTTTAACAAATGTTTTGATAATAAACTGGTGGAATACTGGAATAATCAGTAATTGATATATTCACATAATTATCTACCTAGATTCTTAAAATCACATCTATGAGATGATTATTATAACCCATGTAACCTGTGGCACATCGATGCTTAAGGTTAAGTAATCAAAAGGGCTTTTGTGTACTCAGTGGTCCAGGTGGGCTTCCCATGCAGAGGCGACCAGGATGGTGTGGCAGCATTTGAGGTGACCATCCTGGTGATGGATGCTGGAGGAAACATCATTCTGAGGACGCCACACAACGCTATCTTCTTTAAAACGTGCCAGAGAGGTGAGTTTTCAAACTTTGTAGTCCAACCATGGATGCTGATGCTGAATGACTGTGTGGTTTAAAAGAGAATGTTATGGACATGTAAAACTCTGGATCAGGCATTGAAACATTGCAGACTAAAAGTCTTCATCTGCTCTAGAAGAAACAATTGAGATATTAAAAGGATCTTATTTATGATTTTTCTTTCTTAGGGAGCACAAATGAGCATGTTTTGTCTCCTCTTTAAGAGTAGTTGGTAAGAAAGAGAGAAGCAGAGATCATGGTACGGGTGACTCTCACCCACAAAGCCATCGCTGGCTCATGAGGTCATGTGAATCCTGCCAGCTGCAGCCTTTTAGAATGAGCGTGTTATGTTTTTCTCTGATCCCCCCTCCCTTCTCTCGCACACACTAACCTCACGGTGTTGCATTCCCCTACACACCCTTCTCCACCCCTCTCCATTCGGCATGTAGACTTCACAGATCAAATGGTCCATCTGTCTGAAGCCACCCCGCAGGGAGGAAGCAAAGTGTTTCCTAGTGACAGCTGAGGGTGCCTTAATGACTAGTGCTCACAACTTGATTTTTTTATAAGTCTGGCTGCTTGAATTTCACCCACAGGACAAAATGACGTTGACATAGTTGATATAGCTTAACACCTTCAAGTTGATCCTCTTTTTAAGGAGCATTTTTAAGAATGTTGAACAATAGTTTTGTGTTTCATAAACATGGCATAAACGAAAACTGCATTGAGTGAATCTTAAAACCAATAATTATTCTGACATTATTTACACACCTTAATGTCATTCCATACTTGTATGGCTTGACAAATACACAAAAGGAGACGTTTAACAGGATGTCCAAGCTTCTCTTTTCCATATAATGAGAATGAATGGGGACTAAGAGCATTAAAAGTGGTCCATATGACTTTCCAGCGCTACTTTCCAAGCATTTTTGAAGAACAGATCCAAATTTAAGACGTTTTTCTCTGAAAATATATCTTGACAGCCTCAGTCCCCATTCACTTTCATGGTATGGAAAAGCGCAGCTTGGACATTGTGAGAAAGAAAGTCAAATGACATGAGGGTGAGTAAATGACAGAATGTCAAGTACACTAAACTAAATGGTCTTTAAAGACAGTTGTGAATTATATTGAAACATATCTGCAACAGCATACGGGGCCACATTGCATTTGACAAAGTTGTTGACATTCTGGTTTCACCTCAAAGCCTTTTTTTCTCCTTGCTGGTGTCAGTTCATTTGAAGGAAGTACTGTTATTGAATTCACTGCTCTTTCAACTTCTCTCAGAATCTGATGTCCTTGAAGTGGCATAGGAAGGGAGTAAGTTATGAAGTGTTTGGTGAAGTCCAAAAAAAAAGAAAGGAAATGTTCTCACCATTAATGTCTCCTCTTTCTGAAGCAAAGTGCACTGGTGGTTGTCGCAATGGAGGCTACTGCAATGAAAGGCAGGTCTGCGAGTGTCAGGATGGCTTTTACGGTGTTCACTGTGAGAAAGGTAACCATATTTATATAGGGCCACCATAAAGACAATAAAAACAAAGTTACTGATGTACAAAGTTAGTATGTAGTAAGTTACTGACTTAAACTGCATTGTGAATAAAATAAAATTAAAGAATAAAAAAAGTTAAACATTCAAATAAAAATTAAAACTAATTATTTATATTAAATGAAATACTGTAATGATATATATTTAATCATTATAATTTAAATATAACATTTATATTAATTTAAATCTTTGAGGTTTTATCAATAGTTTTGGTCTTACTGGATCTCGGAAGTGTCCCATAAAGGTCTCATATCATACCTGGAGCCACATAAATCCAGATGTGAGCATGTAAAACCTTGTCATAAAGTCTCCACTACAAAAGCCAGATAGGTAAAAAATAAGAGAAGTGTATTCTGCAAAACTCTTTTCTCAGAAAGACAAGCCTCCTTTGGAAACAAACGAGTGCATATAGTTTATTATGATGATGATTATACTCAACCTCAGGGCATCACTTCCCAAAATGCCTTGTGCAAATGACAAAGCGTGGTTAAGCCCGCTATGTACTAGTTTAGATTAAGGAATGGAGCACGCATGTATTCTAGAAGGTTTCTTGTCTGAAAAAATATGAATTACCCAGCAGGTTGGGAGGCACAAACATGTGTTTTTCATCTATTTACAACTTTAAAGAGCGGTTTACCAAAAAAAGGCTTCCATTAGGTGCTGAAAATGGTTTCAATATCCTCATTGTAGCTGTGTTTGTACCTAAACCGCTTCCATAAAACACCTTTCATCCAATACAGCTTTTGGCAGATTTGTTTTTGCCTGCGTCACTGCCAAAACCACAAAGATTTGTGCTTCGCATATAAAGAAAACCTGCGGCCTAAACTATCCTTCCATTCTTCAACAACAATAGCTGTGTGAAGTTTAATATGTGTAGTTTTAACTTAAAATTAACACTTAACTAGAATATATTTACCTTATTGTCAGTTTGACCCTGGAAAAATTTATTTTTATTTTGCATTAAGACAATTTGAATCATGTGGGATGAGCTGCTATAAGTAAAGTATATATTCTGGTGTATTAGACATAATACTTAAACTAACAATTTTTTCAGCCCTCTGTTCCCCAAGATGTGTGAACGGTGGCCTGTGTATGAGCCCAGGTGTGTGTATGTGTCCTCCGGGCTACTTTGGACCCAGCTGTGAGAGAGGTTAGTTTCCTACCTGTTATGTCGTATCAAACATGCAGTTATTGTGCTATATTGTGCCACCATTCATTAAACCATAAATCAATACCAACAGGACAGGAAACTTGAACTTGACTAAAACATGCTATAAAAGAATACATATAATACACAAAAATACACATGAGAGCTTACATATTAATAAATGGCTTAACATGACTAATTAACCAATAACAAGACAGGAAGTAGCCTGGAAATTCTGATCATAGTCTCTACATTTTTTTTTTTTTTACAGCTGTTCCTAAATGATTTAGACCAAAAGGTCAAAACCATGAAACGTGATCTATACAAAACCGTTACATACATAAATAAAAGCACAAATTGTTTGTGCGTCATTTCTCTTTGTAGTTTGTGACGTGTTCATTGACTTTGCATTGGTTTTCTACATTAACAGCTAACTGCAGCACTACCTGTTTGAATGATATAATTTTCATTTCAAATAAATGCTGTTCTTTTCAACTTCCTATTTGTCAAAGAATCCTGAAAAACATGCATTACTGTTTCCACAAAAGATATTAAGCAGCACAACTGTTTTTAACATTGAAGATAATAAGAAATGCATTTTTGAGCACCAAATCAGCGCATTAGAATGATTTCTGAAGGATCATATAACACTGGAGACTAAGATATAAGTTACATTTCTTCTTCTCTTTATTAGCCCTCTGTTCCCCAAGATGTCTGAATGGTGGCCTGTGTATGAGCCCAGGTGTGTGTATATGTCCTCCAGGCTACTTTGGACCCAGCTGTGAGAGAGGTTAGTTTCCTACCTGTTATGTCGTATCAAACATGCAGTTATTGTGCTATATTGTGCCACCATTCATTAAACCATAAATCAATACCAACAGGACAGGAAACTTGAACTTGACTAAAACATGCTATAAATCAATACATATAGTACACAAAAATAAACATGAGGGTTTTAAATACATTATCTTGACTAATTAATCAATAACAAGACAGAAAATACTCTACTTTTTTTTTTTTTTACAGCTGTTTCTAAATGATTTAGACCAAAAGGTCAAAGCCATGAAACATGATCTACAAAACCGTTACTTAAATAAATAAAAGCACAAATTGTGTGTGCGTCATTTATCTTTGTAGTTTGTGATGTGTTCATTGATTTGCGTTGTTTTTTCTACATTAACAGCTAACTGCAGCACCACCTGTTTGAATGGAGGGACATGTTTCCATCCTGGCAAATGCATCTGTGCCGTCGGCTTTGAAGGGAGCCGCTGTGAGCTCAGTGAGTTCAGCTACATGTACCTTCATCATCACTGTGAAAGGAACAAACTACAGTCAGACCACAATAACAGAACAAATTAACAGTGATCTAAACAAAATCAAGCCAGTTTGCAAGGAAAACAATTAAAATGGGGTTTTAGGGGGAAAAAGTTGTTAAATAAGAACTGCAACTACTAAACTACCGATAGTCTTTGTGTAGTAATGTTCAAAAGTAGCATTCAAAAGTTTGGGGTCAGTACTATTTATTTATTTATTAATAAAATGGTTTTATTGAGCAAGAATGCATTAAATTGATCAAAAATGACAAAAAAAAAAAAAAAAACCTATTAGAAATTCCTGAACCTATGACTCAAAAATGCCAACTTTTTAGGACTACTAACTAAATAGCTGTATTAACTTCTAACGTAGAGTATTAACTGGCTGTTACATTATTATGATCATCTTTCAAAGGGAAAGCCGTGTTGTTGTTCTTAGATTGTAATAGGCTCACTTCCACAAATTGCCCTCAGAGCAGTTCTCCAAGTAAACTTCTTAAGTGAAGTGTGTTCTCACATTAGTGTTTAATGGGCCGGCACCTACATGGGCAAACACAGGATGTAATGCAGTTGTGTTGTCACCCTAATCACTAATAACAACCTCATGAGCTCACATGCACTCAAACGGTGTGGCATTTTATCTCTGACCATTCACAGAAAGCTTTTTCTTCCTTTTTGTTTTTAATTAAACACAAGTATTGAGATAAATGCCACTTAGGACTTGCTCACTGAGGTTTGCTTTGGTAATAATTATATATACATACTTCCTTTGCTTCAGAGGTCTGTAGCGAATGTCGTTGATGTTTAAACAACTCCTCTTTGACCCTGAATTTCATCCTTTCCTGTTCAAAGGCAGGAAGTATTGTAGTATTCAGAGGCGTTTGGTCTGAAAAGGGAGGGAAGAGAAAATATTGAAGGAACATCTCTGTAACATTTTAATAGCATTAAGCCAGTTGTTGCCGACTGATCCACTGCAGTATCGTGTTCTCTGTCAAAACGGGCTATGACATGAACGCCCGGAGTCCCGTTAAGGTCATGTTATGCAAAGACGTCCCCCTCTTTGTCTGGTTTCATGGGTATGGATTTCGCTGATTTGTCAAGGAACAAAGAAGCCGCTGAAATTCAGTTGGTCTTGATCAAATATGCAGGTGTAAGAGGATCCAAGAGTGTTTGGGAAGGGTCTGTCCGCCTGTGTGACCCTGCTTTTGTTTTTCAAAAGCACTGAATTTCCTTTTTTATGTCTCATTTAGTTTACTATGCTTTTCTGAACATCATCATTTTGTCTCATTTTCAGTAAAAATATCTAAACATCTTTAAAGCAAGATCAATTACTGTAGTTTGACAAGAAAAATTGCTTAAAAGCCCCAAAGGCAAAAATAATAAAATAAGCTTGATGCTACATAAAACCCCAATGGCAAATAAATACATTAAATACATAAATAAATGTATAACTTCTGTGTACACTGAAAAATGTACATTGTATATTTTCTATAAATATTTTTATATAAATATAACATGCAATGTAATATTAATATATAATGTTTAAATAAAAAAAATATATATTAGATTTCTGTTCAGAATGACGTTCATAATATTTTTATCTTATATTCAGTACAAATATCTGAACATCCCTAAAGCAAGATCGGTTACTGTAGCTTGACAAGCGAAATTGCAAATAAAATAAAATAAAATAATAAAAAGCTTGATACTGAAATCCCCAATAAATAAATAAATAATTTATTTATAAATAAAACAGTCATTGTAATAATTTATTTATAAATAAAACAATAACTGTGTGCTTAAAAAAATCTTAATTAAAATTTTATATTTTATACTAAAAATAATATTCAAATATTATTTTATTAGATTTTAAAAATAATGAAACAAAATAAAGGTGATACTGCATAAAACTCCAGTGGGGTAAATAAATAAATATATACGTGTTTGTGTGTGTTAAATATATAACATGTACTGTATGTATGGAACCTGAATGGAGAAATTAATTATAAACAAGAGCTATAGTTCTTTGACAAGATGATCTTGGCATAACAATATAAGTTACTAATAGAACGTGTAAGTTCAGATAATAATTTTGAAATGGCAGTTAGCGAAGAAAAAACATTCTCTTTTGCAGTCGGTTATGTTGTTTTGTGCATTTTGGGATTGCGACTAATGCATTTTGCGATTGTTGTCTGCAGGTAAATGTCGACAGCCGTGCAGAAATGGAGGCAAATGCACGGGGAGAAACAAATGCAAGTGCAGCAAAGGCTACCATGGAGATCTGTGCTCCAAAGGTGAGATTTTCTCGACTTGGCAGAAGAACTGTGGACGTGTTTGATCAAAAACACATGTTCACACCAGCATCGCTCTATGCATTTTGCTTGCGAACAATAAACACACTGGAAAATGAACCGGCGGTGCTTGATGGCACCTTAAAATTTCCACTCGGGCTGCAGGCTTGCTGAACAGCACAGGATACGTTTCTAAGACTAAACACTGCGTCTCTGTGTATGGCTGAATGTGTATGTGTATACGTGTGTGCAGCTGTCTGCGAGCCCAGCTGTGGAGCACACGGGACCTGTGTGGAGCCCAACAGGTGCCAGTGCAGGGACGGCTGGCATGGGCGTCACTGCAATAACAGTAAGACAACATCCTTTTTCCCAAGGCCAATATACTAATTGCCACCTGGAAATGGATTAGAGCAAGAAATCTGCTGTAATGCCAGGGTATTACCATGGATATTTAGACATGTTACCATAATAATACCATAGTTTTTTGTATAGATGATATTCATGGTAGTACCTTGGACTGCTTGCAATTGAAAACAAATTAAATGAAAACAGCTTTGTTAACAAAAAAAATTAATAAAATAAAGTAAAAACTAAAGATTATTGGGAAACACTGGGAAAATATTAGAATGATTTCTGGGAAAAACTAAACTAAAACACATTTTCATGACCCCAGAACTAACTAATATAAACAATAAAATTTATATAAATAGATCAAATATTTTTAAATTAATGGTACTTTATAAAACCTGAAACCTGTACAACTCACCTGCTGAAAATGCCACTAGATAGCAATAACACTAGTTGGTGCTGAGAAATGTAAACTTTTTAAATTATACCAGTGAATTCATTTACTTTTGTAGCCCTAAAAATACTAAAACAAAAATTAAATAGGCTGAAACTACAAGATGTAGAATAACTTTATGTAAACAAAAACTACATTTAATTGAAAAAAAATAAGAACCTTGGTGCCATGCATAAATCATTGTCTCAATTAAATATGTAATTTTTTATTAATTATTTTAATATTTGATTTTTTTTTATATACTGCCACAGTATGTTTTTGTAAGGCCAGTTATCTTACACCATGCATTTAATTTATAGTAACATTCAAGCACTGGTTAAGCAAAATAAGTCTTATTAAACAGTTTTATATCAAATTTACCACAATTTGCACCATTTGAACTAAAACCCTGTCAAAAAAATACTTGTTTTGTAGTACGGTCAAGTGTCTTATTTGTGTTTTTAATCATTATTTTTATGTTTTATTACTTAATATGGATCATGGCATTGCCACACTGTTATCGTAAGGCCAGTTACCTATCTTACCCTAATGGTTGAGCAAAACCATTTTTAACTAACTATTTCTCCATACTTTCCCTAGACAAGGGTCAGTTTAGTAGTATTGAACTGTTTTATACCAAATATACCATAGAACTAATTTAAACTCTAACCCTTGCAAAAATGGCTTGGTTCTCAATCATAAATGCTGCTGCACATGTCTGACTGCTCTCTTCCTCCAGGATTTCGTGGAGTAGTCTCCAACAGCCAGCAGGTCTCTGGTTCCAAGCACAAGTCACAGCCTGTGGCAGCGAAGGACACAAAGGAAGTGCCTGAATCCAGTCAGCGCTCTGAAACCAACTATGTGGTTTAAGCCTCCAAATTTTGAGCCAATGGCCCCTCCATTTCAACATCGCCTTCTCTGGAACAAAGCTTTTATCCTCCTCTTCCGATCCTCATCGGGACACTCCCAAGCTGGACTGCTGCTTTTCAGAGCGAGCCTTGTTTTTGTAGTACAGTCACAGTGTCTTATTTTACCACACTAGCGCCTTTGATATATCTCCCACAGTCACCCTTCATCGAGCTTCTGTCCTGCGTCAACCGAGACGGGAGTGAGTCACATGCTTGTGATGTTTGTGCGGTTTAGCTTCAGAAGCGGCGCTGAATCAATGGGAGAAGTGTACGTTATGATCCGAGAACTTCCGGGTGCGGATCCGGCCTTTCTTAGGATGGTAATTGCTGTGTTTGGCTTGTGCTCGTGGTTCGTCTGATTTAGTAAACATATTGTCGTCATTATTGTCACTAACATTCTTCTCACTTATGTAGTAGCTTATCCGGCAAGTACTTGTATAAGTAATATGTATCCTGTTTATGCTATGTAAAATTGAAATCTATAGATATATATTTAGATATGGGTAGACAGTCTTTAAGTTTATGCTTAAAGTTTTCATACGTATGTATAACAATGCACATAAGCTGCTTGTGATGTCATAAACAAAGCCAAAAATGTCTTAATTTTTCACGTGACTTCATTACAGAAATAAAATGTGTTTTCATGGAGCCTGTGAAGATGAAGTGTTCATATTTTAACTGTTGAAGGGTCAGTTCTGTCTTTATTAACTCACTCTCATGTTGTTCCAAATCTTTTTGACTAACTTTCTTCTGTGGGACACAAATTAACTCGGACTAAGTCTGTCAAGCTCCAAAAAGTACACAAAAGGACCATAAAAGCATAAAAATGGTACATACGACTCTGTCCTAGCTCTCCTTGGTGTGTTCATAAGAACAAATGAATTCATTTGAATTGGTTCTTTTTGTTGGATAATCCAGTTTTTCAAAACAGAGACGTTCGCAAACTGGATGGATTTGGTTCTTCTGTTGAACTCACTGTCGAGTTAACATTTTACTGAAGGTGGTTATCAGTGCGTAACATCTTAGATTTGGGCCTTTTCCTCACCCAAAACCATCTAATAGCTATAGTAGGGTTGAAATATTGCACAGACGTCACATGGAGTACTATTATGATAACTTAATGGTGCTTTTGAGTTGTTTTTGAAGCTTGAAAGCAGAATGGCATGAGGTAAATAATAAGTTTGACTTTTTTCCTTAAAGTCTTCAAAATATGAAAGCAAACTCCAGACAAAGTCACTATTAAAGGTGCACTAAGCGATTTTTGAAAAACGTTGACCACTGTGTCAGACCGAGTCCCAAAACATACCCCAACAGCAGTGTTGCCAAGTCCACCGTTTTCCTGTGGAATTGCACTACTTTGAAGGGTTAGTTCACTCAAAAATGAAAATTAGCCTGTGTTTTACGCATCCTAGGTGTATATGACTTTCTTCTTTTAGACGAATCCAATTGGAGTTATATTAAAAATTGTCCTGGCCCCTCCAAGCCTTTCAATGGGGGTAAGCGGGTGTTGGTTGTCAACAGTTCAGAAGACGTGAAATAAAGTGCATGCATCCGTAATAAAACGTCCCTCACACGGCTCCGGAGGGTGCATAAAGGCCTCCTGAAGCGAATGCATTTTTGTAAGATAAATATCCTTATTTCAAACATAATAAACACTTTTTTCTCACTTCCGCTGACTGGTACACGGAAGACATGCAGACGGATGACGCAGGACGTATGCGTCGTGCGCGCACCTCTGAGAAATGCAGGAGCAAAGGAAACAAAGTTTCCTTACTTTAGCAAAGGAAAACCAGTCTCCTCTTGGCTTATATCGAAATCCTCTGACATTTTTCTTTACAAATCCTCGTTTTGTGCTTCTAATTCGTGAACGGCGTTTTGTTTTGTTTTGTCTCCGCGTTCGTCACTAATCACGCAACGTCATCCGCCTGGACGTCTTCCGCGTATGACAGTCAGCGGAAGTGAGAAAAAAAGTGTTTATTACGTTTGACATATGGATATTTATCTTAGAAAAATGCATGGATTCACTACAAGAGGCCTTTATTCATCCCCCGGACCCGTGTGAGGGACGTTTTATTACGGATGCGCGCACTTTATTTCACGTCTTCTGAACTGTTGACAACCAACAACCGCTTACCCCCCATTGAAAGGCTTGGAGGGGCCAGGACAATTTTTAATATAACTCCGATTGGATTCGTCTGAAAGAAGAAAGTCACATACACCTAGGATGCTTTGAGGGTGAGTAAAACACAGGCTAATTTTCATTTTTGAGTGAACTAACCCTTCAAAGTAGTGCAATTCCACAGGAAAACGGTGGACTTGGCAACACTGCTGTTGGGGTATGTGCGTGTTTGTTTTGGTGCTTTCAAATATCATCATCGTTTGGCAAAAATTGCTTAGTGCACCTTTAATTGGAAAGGGCTAAAGCTCAGAGAGTAAATACTACTGTTCAAAAGTTTGAGGATGGTAAGATTAAAAAAAACATTTTTCTCTTATGTTCACCAATGCTGCATTTATTTGATCAAAAATACAATAAAATCAGGAATAGTGAGAAATATTATTATAGTTTAAAATACTGTTTCGTATTTTAATATGACATTTATTCCTGTGATGCAAAGCTGAATTTTCAGTAGCCATTACTCCAGTCATCACTGTCACATGATCTTTCAGAAATCATTCTAATATGTTGATTTGGTGCTCCAGATACATTTCATATTGTTATCAATGTTGAAAACAGTTGTGCTGCTTAATATTTTTATATTTGTGATGAATAAATGGTTAAAAAAAACAGCATTTATTTGAAATAGAAATCTTTGTAATATTACAAATGTCTTTACTGTACTTTTAATCAATTTAATGCATCCTTACTGATTAAAAGTGTTAATTTCTTTAAAAAAAAATCTTACTGACCTCACAGTTTTTGAACAGTAGTGCATATATACATATATATTCACTTTCTTTTAAATTAGTTAAAAGTTATTGCATCATTTGTTCCACAGGTTTTCTAAGCCTATAAGGGAGGATTGTAAAAATAAAGTGGGCCAAGTTTTACGGGCCGGTCTTGCGGCTTCTGTACAATTGCGGGGCGACTACACTGTGGTGAGTCTCACTCCGTGTGTGCTGGCAGGCAAAGTTGCTTGTTGCTGTCCTGAGCAAAATGAGTGATGCTTTCTGAAAAAATTCCAAGCATTCACATATTTGAGTTGATAGAATGGGTGCAGATGTTTACCATCTCCACCATCATGAGACGAATTGTCAGATGTTGGTTTGGCAAAAGTCACGTCATGCAACTGGAATGTTGCTGTTTACTTACCAAATACATAAAGCCTTGTGCAACAGCCACCTGGAAGAGCACTCATCCTTTGAGCTTTATTCTCTCAAAAAGCAATCTTTGGATTTCAATGTTGAAAAGGTTTGGAGAATTGGAGGATTCTGAGGCTTGTCTATAAATTCTGTCTTGGTAAAGAAGAATGATGGCAATGTGCATGCAATCATACACACATATGCAGGCTAGGAGGATCATTTACACTTTATGCCAATTAACTTCTACAGGGGGCGCCGATCGATCAGGCGTGCTTCCCGCCGCGGTCCAGAGGAAGCTGGAATGGTGGCCAGAGAGGACAGGTGAAAATAAACAGCTGGTTGGGTGATTATTTGCACTGTTCCACATCACATAGCAGCTTGGCCCACCATGATTGCCCTCCGGTGCCCATGGGAGCCACGCGAATTTGCCCTGTCAGGTCACCTTTCATGGAGGAAATACAACAATAACAAAAACAATATGTGGAATGCCAAAAATGTAGCAGGCAAATAAAATGGTGGTAACCGTGGAAAAGGAGTCATTTTGTGCCAGTGAATTTTACAGACATCTGGTAACTTGCGTTAAGCAGGTGCAGTCTGGGTACGAACAGGTATGTTCCATTTATATCTGCCTTTGGGCGATGGAGCGGGTACATCAGAAAGATTCGGTCTGTTGAGAATCAATTGACATGTTCTCTCCATTACAGCTCATATAATGGCTCTTCTGAGAATCATAACATTGGAAGATACACCTTCTGATCACGTAGGAAGGAACGAAGGGCAATATATATATATACAGTATATGAGCCAGAAATATGTTAGACATACTTATAAGAATAATCCAAAATCAACATTTAAGCTCAATTGACAGGCATTATGTTGGTTGCCACAAAAAATAATATTGACTTGTCTCTCCTGTAAAAAAAAAGCTTATGAACGATAAAAACACTGTCAGCCAATCAGAATCAACCAGAGACTTTAAAGGGGTCATCGGATGCCCTTTTCCACAAGTTGATATGATTCTTTAGGGTCTTAATGAAAAGTCTGTAAGATAGTTTGGTTAAAATTTCTCAATGGTAGTGTAAAAAAACACCTTTTTTACACTGTCAAAAACAGCTCTTTTCAGAGAAAGCCGTTTTGTAGCATTTTCCTTTAAATGTTAATGAACTCTGCTGACCCCGCCCCTCTCTTCTGAGCCACTCTCAGAGAGACTGTTTACTTTAGCCGCATTCATAGTGACACTCGCTAATTAGCACATTATTAGGAAAGGCAATTTGCCAAGATTCATTAAAAAAAACCTTATACTCACTTCTTCTGTAGGTGAAGCTGGATCACGAATGATTCCCTTCAAAAACAAACGTAATCCACTGCGAGTTCAGCGACTCAGATGTCGGGAGTAAATGACGACTGCTATGTTCATTATTACATCCAACAACAGAACACCTCAATTGCTTAGGAGTCATTCTTGTCTACATCTTCTCCGGCAGTGAAACAATGGGTAGATTAAAAAAAAACACTGGGTGGATTTTTATCATTATAGGGTGGTTGTGTACACACACTGCCAACACACATTTCAGTTCAAACAGCTTGTAAAAGTGCATGTAGCATCTGATGACCCCTTTAAAGAGCATGAGCATTTAGGGCAAATGACATCAAAAGCAGCATGTCCTTATAATAAAAAGAAAGGTATCATCCATTGTTGCGGGCACTGAAAAAGGTATCGTTCTTGGTGTGAACGGGCCT